GCCCTGCCCCCGGGCCGCCGTGAGGCCGGCGTGCCCTGCGCTCTCCGCCCGCCTCCGACCCTGCGGGCCCTCCGCCTTGGGACTGAGAATGCGGGGACGGCCCTCACGCATGTTCACTTCTTCAAATCTGGCCCTCTTTGAAAAAAGTTTGGACACCCCTGTGCTAAGCTGTCTGTTTGAAGGACCATGTGCTGAGGCCAGCAGTTGGAAGCTGTGAACTTCCTAACAAGGATTTGAAGTCTATAACCCTCTGTTCATTGGTCAAGTCTTAACCAGGAAGCGGGGCGATCAGGAAGGCCAGGAGTATATAAGGCCCACTAGTCAGCAATCAGGAGCAACTAACAAGGAGTTTCATGGGAGAGGGTGGAGGAATTAACTAAATGCAAACTACCTGATTTAAATAAAACCCTTATCAAGAATCTAATTATCTGTAGGAAAGGCTGCAGGCAGAAGCCCAGCAGCAGAGTGGGGATTATCCTGGTTATTGCACCCAATATAGCATGTATGATTACCTGCTCTACGGATAGGTGGCATGTGTGTGCATTCAATGCAAGGAGCTCCTGGCCCTCAGAGACCACAGCCGGGCTTCGAAGGTCAGGGTGGCGGAATTGGAGGAGCTGAGGGAGGCAGAGAGGTATGTAGCTGAGGCTTTCCAGGACACTGTAGAACTCTCCCACCTTCAGTCAGACAGCCCCTGTGCTGCTGAGGAGGGTGAAAGGCCCAGAGAAGAAGAACATTCAACTGGAGCAGAGGGCAATTATTCCATAGTTGGGACCCTCCTTCCAGGTGATATTGTGGTATCCTCTCACACTGAGGATACCTCTCTAGGAAAAGGGACTCCAGTCATTGGCAGGTGTTAGTAATGGGGGAGTCAATCATTAGAAACAGACAGTTGGGTTTTGGTGACTGGGAGAACCCTATGGTGACTTATCTGCCTGCTGAGAAGGTTGTGGATCTCTCAATAGACTTATGTGAAATGTTGGGGAGAAGCCGGTGGTCATGGTACATGTAGGTACCAATGACCTAGGGAAGAGTAGGAGAGAGGTTCTGGAGGCCAAATTTAGGCTGCTAGGAAAGAGACTGAAAGCCAGGACCTCTATGGTAGCATTCTCTAAAATGCTTCCAGTTCCACACGCAGGGCCAGGGAGGCAGAACGTCAGTCTCAATTCGTGGAGGAGATGATGGGGAAGAGAGGTGGGGTTTATATTTATTAGGAACTGGAGAAGCTTTTGCAAAAGGGGGAGCCTATACTAGGGATGTAAGCGACTAATCAACTAGTCGCTTCCCGCACCCTTGGTGCCTCTATCACAAAGAGGCAGCGGGGGGGGGGGGGGGGGGGGGGGGTTTCAAGTCCCCCAGCCACTGCTGGGGCTCTTGTACATTTTGAAGGCAAACACACTAGTTCTTACTGACTAATCGAATAGTCGATGAAAATCCCATTGACTATTCAATTAACTAACTAATCAAAATTTAATATCCCTAGCCCATACAGGAAGGCTGGGCTCCCCCTAATCCAAAATGGAACCAGACTGCTGGCACTTAACATTAAAAAGTCCTAGAGTAGTTTTTAAGCTAAAGGCTGGGGGAAAGCTGACAGGTGCAGAGGAGCACATGGATCAGACAGAGACATCTCTTAGGGGAGGGTCCATTAATAGAGATTCTCTATGTTCTAGCAAAGAGCAGATGGAAGATGATAAAATATGGGTAAGATCAAACGAAAAAGTCTAACATCAGGAAATGGCAGACAGACAAATAGTGACCAATTAATTTATACACAAACACTAGAAGTCTAAATAATAAGATGGGTGAAGTAGAGTGCCTCATTTAAAGGAGGATACTGATACAGAAACTTGCTGGAATGAGGACAATCAATGGGACAGTCATACCAGGGTACAAAATATATCAGACGAACAGATCATGCTGGTGGGGCAGTGGCACTATACATGAAAGAAAATGTAGAATCAAATGAAGTAAAAAATCTTAAATGAACCAAAATATTCCACAGAATCTCTATGAATTCCCTACCGCAAGCCTGGGCAAAATACGGCCTGCAGGCTGAATCCAGCCTGCCAAGCCACTGGATCCAACCTGTGGAGGCAGTGGAGAGCCCCAGGCAGGCTCCCCAGCTTGCCCCACAGCCCCACGCACGGTGCAGAAATGCAGCTGCAGGGCTCCGTTTCTGTTTTAAAACTGGAGGGGAGGGAGAAAGTGTTAGAAGCCGCCTCGCCCCCACCAGGCACACGTCCCCGACCCTGGTGCTGCGGCCAGGGAAGAAAGTCCCAGCTTGCAGCTTCTGGCAGATGCTAGAGTTCCTGAACACATGTGCGTCATATGCTTTCCCCAACCACCCAACATTTATGTCCGTAAACTGGCCTCAGTGGTCAGTCACAGTCTGCAGGACAACCAAACAGTAGAGTGATCTGGGACACAGATAGGGATGTGTGTCCTGTCAATAGCTCCACTCCCCCCCTCCCCCTGCAGTTGGGGAAGCCCAGGGTGCCAAACCCCTCAATGATGGCATCCACATCTGCCAAGTGGATGACTCTGCACAGTGGATATAGTATACTTAGATTTTTGACAAGGACCCTCACCAAAGGCTCTGAAGTAAAGTAATTTGTCATGGGATGAGAGGGGAGGTCCTTTCATGGGTTGATAACTGGTTAAAAGGGTAGGAATAAATTATAAGTTTTCTGAGTGGAGAGAGATAACTAGTGGGGTCCCCCAAGGGTCTGTCCTGGGACCCATCCTATTCAATGTCTTTATAAATAAAAAGGGGTAAACAGCGAGGTGGCAAAATCTGCAGATGATACTAAACTGCTCAAGATAGTTAGGACCAAGGCAGACTGTGAAGAGCTTCAAAAGATCTCACCAAACACAGGCTATGTCTACACTATGGAGATTTTTTCAGAAAAACGGCCGTTTTCTCCAAAAACTCAGAGCATCCACACCTCAGGCACGTTTTTGGGCAAGAGAATCAAAAGAACAGAGGAGTTTTTGCGCAATTGGTATTCCTCTTTCTACGAGGAAGAATGCCTTTTTGCAAAAGAGTTCTTTCGCAAAAAGGCATGTCGCTGGGAAAGGGGATTTTTTGCACAAAGAGGAAAAAGCACAGGTGCCCTGGTGGCCATTCTGTGCATAGCAACCAGTGCTTACTTTCAAGAGAGCATCCATGCAGTCCGGACACTCTCTTGCAAAAGCCCATCACTTTTTTCAATGCGCTTTTCTTTCGCAAAAGCAGATCGCATTTTCAATGCACTTTTGCAGTGTAGATGCACTCTTGCGCAACAAGTTTTTGCGAAAGATCTCGTCTGATAAAAGCTTCTTGCACAAAAAGCCTGCAGTCTAGTCATAGCCTGAGTGATTGGGCAACAAAGTGGCAAATGAAATTTAATGTTGATAAAGGTCAAGTAATGCACATTGGGAAAAACAATCCCAACAATACATACAAAATGATAGGGACTAATTTAGCTATAACTACACAAGAGAGATCTAGGAGTCATTGTGGACAGTTCTCAGAAAAGATCCTCTCAGGCTCTGCCCACACTACAAGTTTTTTCAGACGAAAACATGCTAATGAGGGACTCACTAGCATAAGCAGTGATCTCATTAGCATATTTTCTGCTGTTTCTTTTTGCGCCAAGGGGTTTTTGCGCCAAAAAACCCTGTCCACACTGCTTCTTTTTGTGCAAAAAACCCCTTGGGCAAAAAGAAAAAGCAGAAAATATGCTAATGAGATCAGTACTTATGCTAGTGAGTCCCTCATTAGCATGTTTTCTGCCGAAAAAACTTGTAGCATAAAGAAAGATGTGGAGAAATTAGAGAAGGTCCAGAGAGGAGCAACAAGAACAATTAAAGGTCTAGAGAACATGACCTATGAAGGAAGGCTGAAAGAATTGGGCTTGTTTAGTTTGAAAAAGAGAAGGCTGAGAGGGGACAGGATAGCGGTTTTCAGGTATCTAAAAAGGGTGTCACAAGGAAGAGGGAGAAAAAAAAAATTGTTCTTCCTGGCCTCTGCGGATAGAATCAGCAGCAATGGGCTTAAACTGCAGCAAGGGAGGTTTAGGTTGGACATTAGGAAAAACTTCCTGCCTGTCAGGGTGGTTAAACGCTGGAATAAATTGCCCAGGGAGGTTGTGGAATCCCCATCTCTAGAGATATTTAAGAGTAGATTAGATAAATGTCTATCAGGGATGGTCTAGAGACAGTGCTGGGTCCTGCCATGAGGGCAGGGGACTGGACTCAATGACCTCTCAAGGTCTCTTCCAGTCCTAGTATTCTATGATTCAAAGCCTTAGCATACAGTGGCGGTCAAAAATGCAAACAGAATATTGGGAATCATTAAAGGGATAGAGAATAAGACAGAGAATATCTTATTGCCTCCATATAAAACCATGGGACACCCACCTCTTGAAAACTGCTACAGATGCAGTCACTTCATCTCAAAAAGGTATATTGGCATGGGAAAAGGTTCAGAAAAGGCAACAAAAATGATGAGGGGTTTGGAAAGGGTCCCCTATGAAGAGAGATGGAAAAGACTGGGACTTCGCAGCTTAGAAAAGA